AAGTCAATGGATGGTGCCCATTTTCTTCCTTTTATATTCCTTGATCTTTGAAGTGGTTTCAGAGCTCTGCCTTTACCTGTTGGTTTTATGGGTTAATTTGTGTTGTGTCATTCCTGCGCTTTGAATGGATTTGACACAGACAATTTACTGCAGTGTTTCTATATACAACGTGTGTCATTAATATGCATCCTATACACATAATGCTGATCTGTCAATGCATCAATCATGTTAAATGTGTACCTTTCTAGGGTTCAAATTCAGTGCAAGGAAAGCAGAAATGTTAGCAAGGAGCTTGTGAAACCCCCCCCCTCCCCCAAGCACCCTTGGAGTCTTTGTCAGTGGTGCTTTTGTGGAACCGGCTCCAGAGTTTGGGAGGGCCCTGGCCGTCCCGTACTAGGCTGGTGTCTTGGACACCCACTCGTGTGCCCCCACCTGCCTGTGCCACCTGCCTCTGCCCACTCACAAGCCAGTTTGGTGTAGTGGTTAGGAGCACAGACCCTAATCTGGGAGAACCAAGTTTGATTCCCCACTCCTCCACATGCAGCTGCTGGTGTGACCTTGGGTCAGTCACAAGTTCTCTCAGAGCTGTTCTCTCAAGAGTAGTCCTCAAAAGAGCCCTCCCAGCCCCACCCGCCTCACAGGGTGTCTGTTGTGGGGAAGGGAAGGGAGAGAAGATTGTAAACCACTCTGAGACTCCTTCGGGTAGTGAAGGGCTGGGTATAAACCCAGTCTCTTCTTCTTCTCACACCACCTTCAGTCCCAGCTGCACACACTGCATGCCCCTTCCCCAGTGGTTCTGGGGGGTGGGTGCGGCTAGGAGTGCCACTACCGTGGTACCATGATCCTGGGCCTATAGTAGTGTAGCCTACAGGCTCTAGGGAGGCCTAGTGGCTACAGGGAAGCCTGTACTGGAGTAGCTATCAGGGCCTACCTTGGACCCTGTGATTGGCTAACAGGGGATTTGGAGGGGAAACCTATGCCAGTAGACTAGTAGAGGGTGTTGCCTGGGGATAAATGGCGTTGCCCAAAGTGACCAGTGATTATTTTATTGATTGGTCTAACTGAAGCAGACCAATAGAACTAAAGTAAAAACTGAGAAATTGCTAGCACTTTAATATTATGTTTGATTTTAATATTGTTTTTATATTACTGTATTATTATTATTTATTGGAAATTGAATTAAGTAAGGAATTGTGTTTTTTGTATGATTGGAACTTTTATCCTGTTTGTAAGCCGTCCTGAGCCAGCCTAGGCCGGGAGGGCGGGATAAAAACCAATAAAATCAATAAGTAAATAAAGTGGGAGGGGGGGTTCACTCCCAGGGAGCAGGGCTGGCGTGAAGCTGCTGCAGATGGAGGAGGGAGTCAACCTGAGGCCAAAGACCTACTGAAGGCTAGGGGCAGTACAGTCAGGTGCATTTCTTATTTTGCTGGTTTACCTACCTTTACTGTGCTCATTTTTCCTACACCTTATTGAATCACAGTTGCTGTTATTCGCTCACGTATAAAAGGAAACCTACTGGAAGAGGGGAGCTGCGGTGGCTCAAGTGGTTAAGACGCTGAACTGCAGGCTGTGGAAGGTCGGTCGTTCAGCAGTTTGAGACCCGAGTATGCCACATGACGGAGTGAACTCCCGTCTCTAGTTCCAGCTCCTGCCAACCTAGCAGTTCGAAAGCAAGAAATTGCAAGTAGATAAATAGGAACCACTTCAGTAGGAAGGTAACAGCGTTCCGTGCGCCTTGGTGTTTAGTCATGCCGGCCACATGACCACGGAAATGTCTCTGGACAGCGCTGGCTCTTCGGCTTTGAAATGGAGATGAGTACCGCAACCCTAGAGTCGGACTCAACTAGTTTTCGAGCAAGGGAACCTTTAGATTTACCTTTACTGGAAGAGGAGTGTCTAAAGGGATCGGGTGGGTGCTCTGGGGAGGAGGCCCATACCCGACTGGTGGCAGCCATTGGAGAACCCTTCGAGCCGCTGCCCGTGACACATGGTCGCCAGGATCACACTGATGCTCTGTGCCCGCCCTTTGCCAGCAGCACTAAACTGCAGCACTGTCTGTCCTTAGTTGATAGCTTTGTTTTTAACTGTTTTAACTATTGATGGTGAAATGTTTTAACTCTTTTTGTGGATTTGCTGTTGTGACCCTCTCTGAGCCCGCTTGCGGGGAGGGCGGAAATACAAGCCGAAATAAATAAATAAATAAAATAAAAGCAGAGGGGAGGGCGGAAATACAAGCCGAAATAAATAAATAAATAAAATAAAAGCAAAGCTTGCACAAGCAGGCAGTGGAAGGAGGTGAGTAAGGAGACAGCAGCAGCAGCAGCCAGGCTATGCCGATGCCAGACTTGGTGCTCTGCTTGTAATAGGGAGTCGAACCTAACGAAGAGTTCATGGTCAGCTGCAGCAATGACTCTCCCCCCCCTTTTTGCCTTTCCATGGAGCGTGAGGAGAGAGCTCTGCAAGAGTCAGACGCTGCTGAAGTCCAGCAAAGAGCTCCTTTTTGCTGACCACCTCTTCCTTGTCCTTCCTCGGCAGGTAACAGACGGTGGGACCATCAAGCAGAAGATCTTCACCTTCGACGCCATGT